AAGTGGAGAGGAAATGTTTTGAGAATGATGAGGGCAATGAATGTACAAATGCGCTTTACACAATTGATGTATGTATGGATTGTAAGAGTTGCATGAGCCCCTAATAAAACGATTTAAAAAAAAAAAATACCTAACCCAACAACAACAACAAATGATCAAAACCCTTGAACAAACCTTTCACCAGAGCACATGAAAATGTGCTCAACACCATCAGCCACTGCTATGGGTTAGCAGCCCAAGTTGGTTCCAATTTAAGGTGAAACCAGGTGTGCAAGACAAAACTGCACCACAGGGTCTTTCGGATCTTTCGGAAGCCTATCACTACACCTGTCTACCAATGCACCTCTGGTGGGTTCCTGCTCATGGTCAGGTCGGGCAGGGTCTCTGCTCTGGGTCACACTGCTTTAGGTGAGGCTCTGCTCTGAGTCAAGAGCTTAACTGTGGGCACCACCAAGGCTCCTATGTAGCTACTAATGAGATGCAAATCAAAGCCTCAAGTAGACATTACCTCACCCCATTAGAACACTTATGATCAAGAAAACAGTGTTGACGAATCCACTCCACTGTGGTGAGAACATGAGATGGTACAACCACTGTGGCAAAACTTGGTGGTCTTTCAAAAATTTGAGCACAGAACTGTGACATGACTCAAAAACCGATCAAGGTTACAGACCTAAAAGTGGTGAGAACAGAAATGCAAACAGAAAATGGGACCCCCATGCTCACTGCAGTACTTCCTCTAGAGCCAAAGAAACCTAACCCTATAACCCTTAGAAGAAGGACATCAAGGACGGTTGGCACAGACAAACACCCCAGGGTCACGGAACTGAAAATGAGTAAATATGCTGGTCTATTTTCACCACAGCTAAAAAAAAAAAAAACTTAAATTAGCAGGAAGGTTGAAATCAACAAGTGAATGTCACTTCCAATGTTCAAAAATGTCAGCAGAGATGTGACAGAAAAGTGGGAAGCAAAAGCATCCACTGTTGCCCAGGTGAGCAGAAAGAGGCACTGACAGTACCTGCGCATCTATTCTGCAAAGGGCTGTGTCTTCAAGGCAGCTTGGAGGACATGATGTCAGTGGGAACGAACGTGTGCAACAGAGCAGCTCATGAGGGTGCAGCTACCTTAGCCAGTTCCTTGCTTTAGCTGGCAAGGTTCACTTCCATCATGAAAGCAAGAAACCCAAAAACTAGAAAGGCGAGGCTCACTGAGCCATTTATCCCTCCACCTTCAATTAACGCCACATGTGCTTATCGGCCAGGTTGGCACAATAAACTACCTCAGTGACCCACCCACCCATCACCTGCCAAGCTAGACCCTCGACCCTCAACCCTGCTCACTCTTACTTTCATACTCCACCTCCCACCTGCAGCCCACTCAAGCTGACCCTGCCACAGCCCTTCCACCTTTCCACCTAAGTCAAGGGTAGCAGCACCACCCTGCTTATGACTGCAGTTGCTGATCATGCCCAAGACCAGCTAACACTGGAGCAGTGCAGGGCAGGCGTAGGTCCTGGTGCTCAAGCTCAGGGTTCAGCTCCCTGACCACTTAGCTGTAAGACTCTGCACAGGTCCTGAACCTCTCTGGGCCTCGTTTTCCCCTTCTATGGAAGGAAAATGAAGAGTCCCAGAAAGAGAAGAGAGGGAATCGAGTAAAGCAACATTTGAAGGAATAATGGAGTGAGGATTTTTCAAATCGATCAAAATCAATCCACAGATTCTAGCTTTGACAAAAAAGCACCCAAAAAACCCTATCCAGGCACATCTTTGTCAAACTGCTGAGAGAAAAAGAAAAGTCTTAGAACAGCCAGAGAACAAGGCACATTACCTCAAGAAGCACCAGAAGAATGACACACACTATGGAATCAAAAAGCCAATGGGATGATGTCTTTGAAATGCTGGGGACAAGCTGCCAATCTGAAATTCTATACCCAGCACAAGTATCTTTCAAAAAAGGGAGAAAATTAAGCTATTCTAAACACTAAATGGATTATAACTCAATATAAAGAAAACAAAATCCTCAAAGCTGGTCCAAGAGACAACAACAATGTAACTGAAGAAAAGACAGAAGTTGTCACTTTACTTGGATCCAGTCAGCACCACGGAAACATCAATCGAGAAATCAAATGACATCTTGCACTCAACAAATCTGCTGCCCAAGGCATCTTGAAAGTATTAAAGACCAGGGATGTCACTTTTGAGTACTAAGGTGCACCTGCTCCAAGCCACAGTAATCTCAATCACCTCATATGAGTGTGAAAGCTGGGCATTAAATAAGGAAGACCAGAAAAGAATGGATGCATTTGAACTGTGGTGCTGGCAAAGAATACTGAAAGTACCATGGATTCCCAAAAGAACAAATAAATCTCTTGGAGGAAGTACAGCCAGAATATACATTAGAAGCAAAGGATAGCGCCTCTTTATCTCACAGCCTTTGGACAAGTTATCAGAAGAGATCAATTCCTGGAAAAGTGGATAAAGTGGAGTCAGCAAAAACGAGACCCTCAGTAAGATGGACTGACACAGTGGCTGCAACAATGGGCCCAAATATAATAACTGTGAGGATGACACAGGACTGGGCAGTGTTCTCTTCTGTTCTGCTGTACACGGGTCACACTATGAGTGAGAGCCAACCCATTCGCCTAACAATAATAACACCATAAAAACTGAGAATTCATTATCACCAAACTTCTAAAGGCAGTTCTTCAGGCTTAAGGGAAATGATCCCAGATGGTAGACAAAATGAACAACACTGAAAAAGTAAGTATGTGGACAAATACAGAAAAAGTACTGAGCGGGCTAAGTGGCAGGGCTCATCGGATCGTGAGGCCGCTTCCAGTGGCAATGTCAAGAAGAGGGAATCGGAGATCAAAGGCCTGCCAGTGCACCTCATTATCAAAGATCTTGGAGAAATCCATTTAAGGTTATTAGATCACAGAGCAGTTATTCAAGGTGAAACCTATTATTTTATGAAAGAATTTGAATAAAAGTATGGTCTTCAGGAAATGAAAGTTCTTGGAAATTTGAATATGACCCATGAAACAAATGAACATACTCTTGCCAAATATATAGAGATCCTGCAGGACAACTTAAACCAGGTCTGCTAGAGACTGCAAGCAGTTAGTCGCTCAGTCTATAGATTTCAGCAGATGGAGCAAGAACAAAGAAAGACTCATGAGCACATAGCAGCCAGCGAAAAGCAGCATATGGGAGGATTTCCTGAGAGAACAACACTAACAAGCAGGCTGAAATGGATGAAGAACATTAAAAAAAGCCCTAGAGATGCCTACAGAACAATATGCTGAGATAGAGAAGGACTTAGCCAAATTCTCCATCTTCTAAGGAAGGCCCTGATGATGTAGTGGTTACATACTGGGCTGTGATCCGCATAGTAGGCAGTTCAAAACCACCAACAGCTCCATGGGAGAAAGACTGGGCTTTCTACTCCTGTAAACAGTTAGTCTTGCAATCCATAGGGGGTCACTATGAGTCAGCATTGACTTGATAGCAGTAAGTTTTGATTTTTAAAAACTTGGGCCTCAGAATACCAAAAATAGACTTTGGGGCCATGGCATGGTACCCCATCCCATTAGACTCCACCGGAAAACACTCTTAAACATCAAACAAACAGACCTTGAACTATTTATAGGCTTTTCTCTCTTTTTTTTTTTTTTTTTTGGGGGGGGGGGGGGGTTGGTTTTTTTTTTTTTTTTTTTTTTTTTTTTTTTTTTTTTTTTTTGGGGGGGGGGG